CCGCGGGCGGTCAGGGCGCCGGGGAGGGACAGCGCGGCCGGCAAAGGCGGAGCGGGCGCTGCCCGCCCGGACGCGTCCTGGTCCCCCAGAGGTGGTGGGCGAGGTGCTGGCTGTTGGGATTTAATTCCTGGCCCTCCTGATTTGGATCCTTCCTCCCAACCATCGTCTCCTCTTCTACGCTGAAGACGAGACACAAGAAGAGGCGCTGTCTGTGCAGCGCAGGGCAGCGGAGCAGCGAGGGACCAGCCTGCCTCTGCCTCCTGCGGGTTCCCCAGCCAGCTGCCAGCCGACCGAGTGCTGAGTCCCGCTCTGCTGACACTGCTTTCTGGGTCGGAGGCCAGCGCTGAGCAGAGGCGCCCGAGGTTGTGCAGGTTTTGTGCAGCTGGGGGCAGAAGGCAGGTCCCGTGGATGCTGCACCCTCCTGTGGCAGGTGCCCTCGGAGGAAGGCTGTCTCTCCCCTGCCCTGAAGGTGGTGCACGTGCGTGGGACTGTGTGCCCCCAGACTCCCTAATGCCAGCTGTGTGCACCCGCACACCTGCAACAAGGCAGCGGATGACCCCGAGTGATGGCCTCTGGTCTGGGCCCTTCACCTGCAGAGTGGAGGCGGTGACAGCCGCGTGTGCGCTGGGCACTCAGCGAGGTTCCTGGGGCGATCCTGCAGGCCACACAAGCTCGGGCGCCGGGGACAAACGCAAGCGAGAGACAGACGCCTCCCCGTCCTGGGGCCGAGGGAGTACAGGAGTCGGTACTGCAAGGGACAGACGCATGGTTATGGGTGAGGCCGCAGCTCGCCGAGCTCGAGGGCAGGGAGATGGTGCGTTTCCCGCGGCCCCCCACCAGGGCACTGGAGCCTGGGCAGCGGCCCTGTCACGCCCGCTGCAGGACTCTGGCGGGAACAGGCCCCCAGGCGGGGGAGCAAGCGAACTGCAAACCCCAAGGGGGCCTTCCTCCTGCGGTCACACGCGATCCCTCACTCTTGTGTGGAGAAACTCCTCAGAGGACAGAGGGGCTGGGTGACAGAGGTCGCAGGCAGGATTTCCAGATTCCAACATGCGATCCACAGGTTCATAATGACTCAGAAACAAAATGCAAAAGATGTGCGTGAGGCACATCCAAGGTATTTCCAGGCTGCAGCAGAGGATGCTGCCCACCCTCCCCGGAGCACAGGGTCTCCCAGCACCCTCTTCCCCACCTGGACCCAGCTTCCTGGGTCACGTGCTGCCTTGGGGCTTGCCTTCCCGCCTCCTCTATGGGGTGTCCCGGAGCACGGGGACAAGGCTCCGGGACCCTCTGCAGAGCGGCAGGTGTTTTTGCTGTTGGATCCACATCTATAACGTGAGGACATTGAGCCGGGTGTGGTGGCGCACGCCTGTAATCCCAGCACTCAGGAGGATCCTCGTTGTGAATTTGAGACCAGCCTGGGCTACAAAGTGAGCTCAAGGTCAGCCTGAATTGCACAGCGAGGCCCTGTCTCAAAAAGGCAACAAAACAAAACAAAACACCAAAAAACCCACGAGGACATGCACAGCTCCCGCCCACAGGTAACTCATGAAGTATTTGTAGGCATCAGGTGCTGCATCTTGCTACTACTTCATAATAAGTCGACCACTTACTCCACCTGCCCGCTGCATGCCTGCCCCGTCTTTGTGCCCTGGGACCCGGCCTGTGCCCTTCCCTGGGGTCTGTGGAGAAGCAGCCTGGAAAGGAGGCCCTGTGAGGAGGTGTGTGGGGCGAAGCAGGATGCAGCCTTGGCCCTTGTTTGTAGCTCAGTTCCAGTCTGTGCGGCAGGCATCACAGCACCTGGGTCCCCGGGCAGCTGTGGAGGGTTTGTGACCTCAGGAAGGGAAGTTCTGTCACACACACACACACATGAGCATGCACACACCAGCCCTGGGGCCACCTTGTGGGATCCCGGGCCCTCCTGGGTGTGACGCTGGGTCACAAGCATCCCCCCTTCAGTGGCCCCAGCGCTGAGTCGAACACCTATGCCCATGCCTGCCCATGCCTGGTGATCAGGTCTCTGCAGAACCCCAAGATCAAGCTGTGAGCGCCACGGTCAGCCCCAGGCCTGGCCCTGTCCTTGGGTGTCTCCATGCACATTGGACAACAGGACGTTTGCAAATGTGAGAGAGTAGCGCCTTGGATATGTGAGGTGGGTGTGGAGGTGCACATCTCCAATCCCAGCACTTAGGGAGGCTGAGGCAGGAGGATTGCAAGCCTGAGCAACTTGGACCCTGTCTCAAAATTAAGAATAAATAAATAAAGGACTGGAGATGGAGCTCAGTGCAAAGGCCCTGGGTTCAATCCCCAGCACCACGCACAGGACGTTCAGTCTGAGAGGCATGGCCTGCACTGAGCATGCTCACAGTGTCATGTGACCATCACTGCTCTCTGCCCCTGAACTCTTCCTCACCCCAGGGTGCTCTGTGCTGCAAAATGCATGACCTTTGCCCTCTTCCCTGCTTCTGTGTCGGTGCCTGTGTAGTGCCAGGCTCTTCCCTTCCTCCGGTCAGGGGCATCCAGTGTGGGGACAGACGTGCAGCAGGGACGCTAAGTGAGGGGGCCTTTCTGCTAGGTGAGGGGCCCTGGCCACAGCCCTGCTGTCCAGCACATGTCTGAGCCCAACCTCACCGCGGGGATACTGAGGGTATGGCGCAGGGGCGGGGCAGAGTGAGCTGGGGGGACGGGGCTCTTCAGTCACAGGCACCAAAGATCAGGGTGCAGCCTGGGCGCCGTACCCGGGCTCCATCTCCACAGGCACGGGAGAGACACCGCATGTCCTGACACTGCCTGAGACCCAAGGGGTCCCAGGCCCCCGGGCTGCCGATGGGCTGGGGGCCCTGTCACTTCCCCGCCCCCTGCCCCAGTGCGCACCTCCATTCCCACCTATCTTTGGAAAAGCTTTCTCCGCCTATCTTTGGAAAACAAAGTAATTCGCTTTTAATGACGGCTGGTGTTTTCCTTCCCGCTTCTATTGGGGCAGATAAAGTCGGGGGCCTCCCCGCGGGTTAAACCACTGTGACCTTCATAATCAGAGAACAGAAATAAATTATGTTTGCTCATAAATGTCACCAGGGCCCAGCCGCCTTCTCACAGGTGGTGATAACGCTGCTTTTATCAGGCCTGGGTGCTCAGGTGACAAAGTGCTCCTTTGTGCTGTTGGTGGCGGCCTCGGCGTGGCCTGCTTTCCCACCAAAGCTGCGGCGACTGTGACTCGCCCACTGGGGGAACCCATCTGGGGAGCTCTGTGAGCCCCCCAGGCTTTCAGACCCGCTGGAGCCGTCCCCACGTCCAGGCTGGCTTGCTGACCTCAGGCTCTGAGGGGACACTGCCCTGTGCAGTGCCTCTTTCTCAGGCCAACTGGCTTTGGGTGGGACCGGTGCTCCCAGGCTGCCTGGCTCAGTCCCCTCAGCACAGCTTCTGCTCCTCCTCCCGCACAGGGTTCAGCCTGGGGGACTTGGTCTGGGGTGGTGGCAGTGGCATGGCACCTTCTCTCCAGCTGCAAGGGTGCCTCCCCGAAGCCTGGAGGTAACCGCAGTCCAGGCAGCAGCTATTGAGGATCCTACCTGAGACAAGGGACCCTGACAGATGCCAAAGTGATGATGCCACAGCTTCCTACCACCTCCCCAAGGGCGTGTCCAGGTTCTGAGGAGCAGACCCGTGGGAATTTTCCAGAACCTGCTGTCCTGACATCCAATTGTTTGTTTTTGTTTTTTTAAATTTTGAGGCAGGGTCTTACTATGTCGTTCAGCCTGGCCTCAAACTAAGTCTGCAGCCCGGGCTCATGGTGATCTTCCTGCCCGAGCCTCCCGAGTGCTGGGATTACAGGCCGGGGCCACTGCACCTGGCACGTGAGCTACTTTAACAGAACTCTTTGGCCCCTACCGCGCCCCCACTGTCCCCTCCTGCAGGTGGCAGCTCCATCCTTCTCTGCGGCCTGTTCTGCCCCCACCCCCACCCCAGCCCCAGGCTTCTCTGCCCAGAGGTGTGAGGCCACACCACCACCAGAGGGTGATTTATCAGCATCTATCCCAGGCGGCTAAGTGGAAACACAGGCTCCCAGGGGCCTGCGAGATCTGATTCAGGAAACAGAGCAGCTGTGAGTCCTCCCTGCCCTGCCCGCCCGTCAAGAAAGCACAGTGCAGGTGACCGCCGGCAGGGGCAGCCAGGCGGGCGGAAGTGTGTCTCCTTCACTAATCAGACGTGGGCCAGCAAGGACAAAGTGAATCTCAAATAATCACGTTGTAGTTTTGACGAGTTAAGTAAGTGTTTTATGCCCGGAACGGGAACCTGCCTTTCTGTGGCGGCGGCTCTGGAGAAGCACTTACGGTCAGGCGGCCTCTCGTGCACGCGCGCCGCCTTCGGGCACATCTGCGTGGCCGGGACTCTTTCCAGGAAAGGGCAGTTTGGGCCCAGCTGTGCAAAATTAAGTGCTAACACTGCAGTCACACTGCACCGTGGCTTCCTGGTGGTGGGCGCTGGCCACGTCCTGCTGACACGCAGCCTCGGCGCCCATCCCAAACGTCCCAGGGTCTTGCCTTCATCCCGGGAGGATGGTTTTCCTGGACTCAGCAAATGTGTCCAGGCCCATCCACCAGGTTTAAAGAATTACAAAGCAGGCTCTAACCAGACCTCTCAGTGACGCTCAGCAGAGCGGGCGCAGGAGCGGTGGGCTCAGCTTTCCCACTGGAAGGTAACCAGGCTCTGCCCCAGCCCCGGGCAGGCACCAGCTGGGTGCCAACGAGAAGCCAGCTGGAGATGACACAGGCACCCACTCTGAGCCAGGTCAGAGACCACAGCCTCGGAGTTGGACGCATCCCTGCAGCCAGGCTGGCCAGCAGACGCGGGGTGGCAGGTGGTGGCGCCTGTGGACAGACACGTGGTCCCCTGCAGTTGCTGTGGCTGCCCTGTTCTGTCCAGCAGCCCTGCCAGAGCGCTCGGTAGCACCGTGCTCTCCTGCACGTGGTGGCCGCAGCCCGGGGTCTGGGTCTCCTCAGCCGAGCACTGGAAGCTCTGGTTGTCAGGGGTCACCTCGCCTACACCTCAGTCAGCAGGGTCAAAGGCCAGCTGGGAGGTCCTGCCATCGGCTCAACTCAGCCTCTGAGGGGCCCAGGGTGGATCGGATGCCCGTGCCACTGAGCCTGCACAGCCAAGGACAGTGCATTCCGCTTCCTCATCTACCCGCCAGCCGTAGTCCAGGACAGGAGGGAGGCGGGACTGGGCAGCCAGGACAGGACCCGGCCAGCACTAAGGGTGGGACAGGTGAGTCCGCTTCACGTGCCAGGGAAGGAAGGTTGGAGTATTGTTTTGTTTGGGGCTTTTTTCGGAGATGGGGGTCTCACTACGCAGCCCAGGCTGGGCTAGAACTCCCAGTGATTCCCCTGCCTCAGCCACCTGAGCTGTTGGCATTATAGGTGTGTGCCACTACATCCAGCTCGAAGTATTTTAGATCTTGGAAGAAAAAGTTCTGAATTGCAAGTGCTTTTGAAAACTAGAACTTACAGAAAAATTACACGGATACACTTCACCTGCATAAACATCACCCACTTCCTGACAGGGAACTTGCCTCCTGCTTCCCAGAGGGGGCTGCCGATTCAGGCAAGTGGTCCACCTCTGAGCTACGCCCCAGCCCGAGGGAAGGTGCAGGCTGGTGTTCCAGCAAAGCTCTTCTCTCAAAACAAACTGACACTCTATGCAGAATGTAAGAAAATAGATTTTATTTACACTTTAACACACTATGAACCCCTCACTAGAAGGCTTTTTAGTCATTTTATACACTACCAGTCCTCACCCTGCAGGGGAGCAAGTTCTCACCATACACCGCCCACATAGCCTGAAGCACCTTTCAAATGTCCGTGTTACTAATATATCTTAAAATCTCTCCTTTTAAAAAAATTAAGTTTATTGGTACATTTTAGGTATACATAATGATCACATTCATTAGAGGGACTATGCACCTGTACCTGATACAACTTGATTCTTTTTTAAAAATCTCCACATTTAAAAGCCATTCTGAACTCACAACCCTTCTGGACAAGACGGAGGTACCAGCCGCACTGGACAGCCGTCAGCATGGCCTGGTGATGCCCGTGACGTGCACCCTCTGGGCCACCTGCCATATACTAAACCCAAGTGATGGGCGGGGGTCACAATCAGGGTCCTGGTGAGAACGTGTTTTGGGGACAGAAACCAGTATGGACGTGGGACTGGTGCGGCCTGGACTCACCTCCACCGCACGAGGCTGCTTTGTGCTGCGGTGTGGCTCTCCTGAGCCTCGTGCTGCTCCACCGATGGCCACGCTGGTGACATCAGCACCGTCCCACCCAAAGCTGGTGGTGCTGCACAGGCACATGCTGTCCTGAGCACCTCCCAGGAGGCGGGGCCTGGCCGGTCACACCCAGGAGTGGGGACAGGAAGCAGCACTCTGCCCACTGCCACCCTTTGTCTCAATCAGAAGTGCGTGGAAGACAAGGGCTTTTCCTCTGGCTCCAAAGCAGGGTCGGGCTGGGGACAGCCAGGCCACCTGTGTTGCTCTTTACACACTGCCTGTGAACACGAAGGCCCAGACCCTTGGGGTAGGGGTAGACAAGCACAGCAACTGCCCACGGTGCTTGTGGACACCCCACAGAGCTACGCCAAGGGGCGCTCAGCACAGCACCGATGTCCCCAGAGACTGCCTGGCTGCTGGGAGACTGAAGGGCAGGTGACAGTGCTGGCCTATGACCTCTACCTCACACTGGGTGGCTGTTCCAGCAGTTAACTTCATCAGTGAGGCTTAGTCCTGTCTGGGGCTCCAGGGCCCGCAGACATCACGCACAGCGTGTCGGCAGTGCACCGGGTCCCCAGGCCACTTCTTCCTCAGCGCTGGGGCTTCCACTCCAGGTGTGTGTGCATGTCTCACAGATGTGTGAGCTCCGACGTGCAGGCGACACCTCCACACCGGCTCGGGCCTGGCAGCGAGCAGCACCAAGTGTCCATTCCCATTTGGCGACTTCAGAGTTTTAAGAAAGACACTGCCAACGTGGAGCGGCTGAGACACGGAAGCACAAAGGGGTCTCTGCCGCGTGGGAGGTCGGCTGAGCGCTCAGAGCCTCCACCCACACAGCGCTCGGCACACGGTGACACTCGCGGGCTGACCAAATCCAACTTGTCCCAGGTGTGCCCAAGCTCGCCGCGCCAATGATGCACTTAGCTGTCTCCGGCCCTGGACCAGAAGTCACCTCAAACGCTGACACTTAACACCGCAGACGCTGTCGTGACTCCAGCGCACTCCCGGCTTCCGCTACATCCGCGGTGCAGCCCTGCCCTGCAGGGCCTGGGTGGCGAGTGCCACCCTCTCTCTCAGCGTGCCAGCCTCCTCGGGGCTCCGCGGGGCCTGTGTGGGCCTCAGCAGGAAGTGGCTGATGAAGAGCTTCAGGCCCTCCCTCAGCACACCCAGCTTCGGGTTGCCGGACACCCTGCAAGGGAACCACATAGATGACGACATCAGCCAGGTTCCTCCGTTCACACACACGGAGCTGCAGCGGTAACTGCGTTTACTTCTCTTTCTTGTTTGTGCTTTGTGGTGCCTGGAATCAAACCCAGGGCCTGGGCCAGGACAGCCAAGTGCTCCACCACTGAGCTGCACCCTCAGGCCCCAGTTCCCTTCAAAACTTTTATTTTTCAGGCAGGGTCTATCTACATCACCCAGGTCGGCCTCAAATTTCTGGGCTTGAATGATCATCCTCCCTCAGCCTCCCGAGGAGCTGGGACAACAGGCATGCCCCCGCCCCGATGGCTTCTGAAGCAGAATTCTCTCTGAGGATCTTCTTAAGGGCTAGGGACGTGGCTCAGTGGGAGAATGTCTGCTCCCATGTGTGAGGCGCTGGGCTCAAGGCCTAGCACTACAAACCTTAAGGCACACGTAACGATCAGCCACACTGCTTTTACAAACTGCCAGGAGCGACAGTCTCTGCTCCCCTTTACCACACAATGAGAGCAAGCTTGTACACACCTTGAAAAAATTAAACTCAAGTCTTCCACTTCTGTTTCCATCAGCAGCATGGTTAACACTCGGCGTAAAAAGTGGACTCGGGGTTTGTCCAATTCACTGAACTCAACCACCTAGTCAGCAGGAGACAGAAAACACAGCTACACGGATGCAGTCAACTCTTGCACGACTTGCGTACAGGAAACGGGTAACCGAGGCCCTCCCCACGCCTCCATTTCCGCTGTTAAAGTGAACAGGGGCCTCCTCTCTGGCAGGCACCAACCCTGCAGCAAGCAGCTCGGCAGCGTGAGCAAAGCTCCCAGGACGCACGGCCGACAGCCAGGACCCCTCACCCCTGAAGACGCCCACTGGGTACAGCTCCCTGCGCTTAGAACAGGAGGGGCTGCACCGTGCGGACGCACTTTCCTCCTACACAGCTCAGCCCAGAGCTGACCACTCAGCAGCAGGACAGGAGATGTCCTACACTTACTCAGCTAACTGTACACATAAGTGATAAAATCAGAGAAACTGCAGTGCTTGCCTATAATCCCCACTCAGGAGGCTGAGGCAGGAGGATCATTGTAAGTTCGAGGCCGGCCTGGGCTGTATAGTGAGTTCAAGGCTGGCCTGAGACCCTGTCTCAAAATACCAAAAACCAAAACCAAACAAACCTTCTGCCCAGGAGGGAGACACGTGTGTGTGTGTGTGTGTGTGTGTGTGTGTGTGTGTGTGCAAGTGCATGCAGGAATGCCCATGCAGCAGAGCCCAGGGTGGCTCCAGGCTTCTGTCCCCCTGGAGCAAGCTTCCTCTGCACAGCTCTCGATCACCTGGGGTGGCTGACAGCACGCCCCTTTCATGCTGAGTGCCACACACAGTGAGTGGAAGGTGAGACAGTGCCATGACGAAAGGACAATGTATTTTTCATGCTAAAAATGATTCCGGCTTTCAGGAAATGCTATGAAGAATGAGCGCCCCTACTTCCAGCACATGACCAGGACCCCAACCCTAGCACACACAAAGAATCGAGGACCCCCTGAGAAGACACTCTGATGAGGTGGGAGGCACAGGGCCACCCCTCAGGTCAGAGCCGGTCATCGCTGCTGCCCACCTTCGACCCTCAGACTTCCCAGAACACCACTGCCCACGTCGGACTGGCCACCTCGCGCCCGCTTCCTGTCTCACAATCCCACCACCCCCTTGACGGGACATCTGGGTATCTGCAGCTCCTGGCTCTGAAGTCTCAAACCCAGCGAGAGGGGGGACATCATTTTAAAATGCCCTACACTGAGGACCCAGCAACACACCCTGACAATCCTGCTCCACTGTGCTCCCCTCCCCGGTGACCAGATCAAGATTTCAGTGAGGGTCAGCACACCGGCCTCACCCAAGGAACGTTCACTTAACAGCAAAAGCCCTCTCCCCGGCCTTACTTTACTACGTAAACTCACTCTGTGTGAGCTTCTACAGTGGCTGACATTGGAAATAGTCTTCAGAATCTTGGGAAATGTATTTTTTAAAAGTGCCAAATATAAGCAATTATATTAGTATCTCAGTGCTTTGAACAATTTCGTGCATCATACAAACCTTTAAAATGGAAAGTGGAAGTGACTTTGTCTTCAACAAGTGTGCCACCAGGTGAACCAAATTTAAGACTTTGGTGTCCGGCAAATTTTCTAAGTCCCGAAATTTGTCCCATATGCTGAACTGGAAAGTCATCTAGTAGCCAGTTAGAGAGAAGAACATTACAGTGCAGTAACTATTAGAATAAACTATTAAAAATGTAGTCCACAGGTACCGTACTTCTTATTTGCTCTTCTTTTCACCCACTTATCTCTAACATCCCCAATCAGGACTTCTAGGGAGATGGCCCCCGGCCTCTCCTCCGGACAGGACTGGGAACAGTTCCCAGCACCGGCCCCTCGCTGCCTCCCCTGAGAATCGGCAGTCCCCATCAAGCGCCAGAGAAGCCTGTCCCCGCTGAGCCGCAGGGCTCGGTGCACCAAGTCAGAGTCCACCTCACGGGGCCCAATGGCCCGCGTCGTGACAGAGCTGGGCGACCACCCGTCCTGTCTCTACCTCTCCACGCAGGTGGGCCCGGCTGCCTCCGGGGGCCACAATGCCCGCCGTCAGGACACGGGTGTTTAGGCCGAGAGCAGGGCACAGGTATGGCGCCGCGGCCCAGCTTACCTGGAATCTCCTCTCGTACCCGCAGAACTTGCTGGACAGGAAGGCGTAGAAAGGGTTGTAGGTCTTCTCCTGCAGGCAGCAGTCCACGAGCACGTGCACGATCTCTCGCTCCTGCTGGTCCTTCAGCCCGAGCCTGTGCACAGAGGCCGTCGGCTCAGGTGAAATCTTCCGAGGCTTGAAAGTGAGCCGGTGCAGGTGGCGGCAGCCCAACGGGGCCACAGCCCTGAGCCCTGCTGCCCTGGCGTCGCTTATTCCAATAATACGGCAAAATGCTGCAGGGCACAGCATGACCCACACATTCCACGCCAGCCACAACAGCCTATGGCTGGGGCCCGTTAGCAGGACTCAACCACGTGCACCTAAATGTAGGTTCTGGCTGAGGCAGTGAAGTTTTCACTTTAAACATTCGAGGTACAACTTACCGTGAAACACACTTTGTGGGTGTGCACAAGCCCTAGGGTCAGGAAACACTCCTATTGCCGATGCACCAAACCCAAGCCCCTCTGCAGCTAGCACCCCCAGGCCACCACAGGCTGTCTTCTGTCCCTCCAGCCCTACCACTGCCAGAGTGTGAACAGCCGTAACACCAACGGCTCTTGGCACACCCAGGACACAGGCGCAGCCACCTACGCCCCAGGGTCCTGGTCCCTCCCCACTGAAGGGAGGATCTTGGCTTCTTCATGCTCCCAGTCTGGGCCATGTGGAGGGTACGCGGCTTCTGGGAATTATAAATAACTGCTCTGTGTGCATGTGCGGGAGATGGAAGCCCGCGCCTCACTACCACTGAGCTACATCCCAGCCCAGCTGAAGCCTGTGATGAATAAAAATAGGGGAAAGACATTATTAAGGGTTTTGTTTTTGTTTTTTTTTGAGACATGGTCTTGCTATGTAGTTCAGGCTGGTCTTGATCCTCCTGCCTCTGCCTCCTGGGGAGCTGTGAAAGGAGGACTTCCTGGTACACAAGTCGGCTAAATCCACACTCCCAGCAGTGAAGCTGCACCAGGTTCACAGGACCCAGGAGTCTCGGCCAATGGCCAGGTCCAGACTCACAAAGGACTCGGCTTCCAGCCAGCAAGGCCCTGCAGCTGAGAAGGTGCCCCCACCCGAATCACAACACAAACTACATTCTCCCCATGAAGCACATAAAAGAAAATGAGCTGACATCACATTGTTTAGAAGTAGTTTGTGGAAGTCCGCAGGTACTTTAAATTTATCACAACGAACTATAGAAACTACACTTTGATGTTTTAAATTAAGCATCAGAAGGTGGGTCAGGCATGAGTATGCGTGCCTGCAATCCCAACACTTGGGGAGGCTGAGGAGGATCACAAGCTCAAGCTCAGCCTGGAGAACTTAGCAATTGTAGCAAGAACCTGTCTCAAAATAAAAAAAATATGCAAGGGTTGGGAGATAGCTAAGTGGGATAGCTAGGTTCAATCCCTAGAACCACCAAAAAAGAAAAAACTCAGAATGCTAGTTTTAATACGAAGGTCTCTACCTCTCCAAGCAGCACTAGCTAACCACCAGCCCCTGGGGCAGTGCAATGGCCGAGCCCTCGGACCTTGGGGCTATGTATGCTGTGCTGGGGACCTATGGTGCTCAGCACAGACAGCCCTGTTACCAGTCACCCAGACACACACACCAGATGACGTCTAATTAACAGGTGGGACACTCACACAGATCCTTACTTGAGCAGCTTTTCAAAGGCATCTAGAAAATCCTCGCTGGTCATCACCGTGCAGAATATGTTCCTCCTGATGTCTGTGTTCATCCTCTGCTTCCGGGCAAGCTCCAGCATCTTTGCGCTCACCTAGGAAGAAGGAGAGCGGGCCCCGTCAAGTCTGGATGGCTGTCTCCGGGGGAGCACCATGCCGGCCCTGGCCCTGTGCTGCCAGTACCCATGGCTGGACGACCTGGGAAACAGCTGGGGAAAAGCCCAAGGGAAAAGAGCCTGGCCTGGAGACTGCTCGGAGGGCAGCTGGGAGCTGAGGTCAGACGTGTGTGGCTGCCGGTCATGGGGAGCCACAGCCACCAAGTGCAACCAGGGCCAGGCCGGAGAGGCCAGGAGGGGAGGAGAGGACATCTGGGCCATGTGCAGGATGTAGCTAATGGACTGGAACCCACACTCCCTGGGCAACAGAACGCTCTGCATCCCAGGGATAGGCATCTGGGAGATGAGTGCGTGGCTTTCACACCGTCTCCTTGTTCCACTCCACTCCCAGATCTTTTGTACTATGTGTTTTGTAACCTTAAAGAGTTCTGTAAGGTGCAGGGTACGCCAGCACATGCCTGTAATCCCAGCACTCAGTAGGCTGAGGCAGGAGGACTGCTGTAAGTTTGAGGCCAGCCTGGATTCCATAGTAAAGACCCTGTCTCAAAAACAAACTCTTTAAGGAGACACAACAAAAGCTGAAGCAAATGTATCTTTGTGTTTTGTTTTAACAGGAGGCCTTGTTGAGTTGCACAAGGTGGCCCTGGATTCAGGGGCTTGGGGCGCTCTGCTTCAGCCCCGAGCAGCTTGGACTGCACACAGCTCCGCTGCACCTGTCCAACCTTTCTACAAGGCCTTTCAGACCTGTCCCCGCGCAAAGCAGTATGGAGCTCCTCCGGGGAGCTGGAAACAGACGAGGCAGCCCGAGAGCAGGGGTCTCCCTACCGTCCCCGTGAGTGGCTTCTGTGGGACTGCGAGATGACTGTTGTCAATCATCGGGGCCCCACTCCACGCAGACCCCACGATCCACCAGCGACCGGCCTGCTCTGCATTCCGGATGCCGTCCCAGGAGACACGGAGCTGAGTCTCGGAGCTGGAGCTGGCACTGCGCACCTGGTGAGGAAGACACCCGGGTGAGGGCACCCGCCAGCCACGCTCTGCACCCACTGCACGCCCCGGCGTAGACAGCGACCTTCTCTGCTGTGTGACAGTAGCTAGGAGTTCCTGGGACCGCTGGCCTGCCCCGAACATCAGAGCAAGCAGGAAGCACCCAGCATTTTGTCCTCAGGGCCTGAGTCTCTCACCCATGTCTGTGGAAAGTTGTCATGAAGGGACATGACAGCCACCACGGTCTTGGTGACAGGAGCCTGTCTCTGCCAGAGGCGATGTCATGTGACTCAGGCAGGATGAGCCTGATCCCTGCCGACCTCCCGGGCCCAGGTGGGGCCCAGCTGCTCCGGGAGCCCCTGGAGAACCTAACGCACCTGTGTCCAGCAACCCACATCAAGCCCCAGCACAGGCGGGTAGCCAGACTGCACCAAGGAAAGCCCACAGCTCCCACCTCAGAGCCCGCCAGGCCCCTGTTTTCTCAGTGCACCCATGTGCCGCCAAGACTTGAGACAGACCAGAACGACAGCCACTGACCAGTGTCCTCTGCAGCTTCCTCAGCCTCTCCACCGGCTCGGGGTCATAGCCTGGGATCTTGCGCATGTCATTGTTCTTCAATGCTAGCATCGTCTCCAGCATAAACCGAATCTAAGGAAAACACGGAGAAACCAAACCCGGTCATCCCAGATTGTCTACACAGCCGACTGCTCCGCTTGCAGACAGCCAGATGCATCGGGTTCACGATTTCAAAAGCAGAGTCTGGCTTTCTTGCGGGTCTGCGCGGCCCCCATATGCCCTCCTGTCCACCTGAAGGGGGAACCCAACCTTTGCTTCCTTCAGCCCGAAGCCCACTACGCTGGGTCACTTCTGCCTCCTGAGCCCATGGCTGTCACTGCCACTGCGGAGCTCTGTGTTGTTTTGCATGGGGACTGTCACTGCACACACACAAACACGCCTCCATGCCCCCAGACCCCTGCGACACTCCACCGCCCTCTCCACACTGCAGCAGGAAGGACACGGAAAGGGAGCGTCCTCAGGTGCAGCACCAGCCAAGGCCTCCAGATAAGCAGCATAAACCCTGCCTCAGCCTGAGTGGGCCCCCCAGGCCTCCACACCTGTCCTTGTCTCGTTCCTCAACAGCTGCACCCCCTTTTCCTTAGGGGTCCCTTGGGTACATCCACACCTCTTATCCTCCAAACAGCAAACAAGGCTGAAGCTGGAGGGCCCTGTTTTGTAGACGGAGAACGTGAGACTGGCAAGATGCAGGCAAAGCCACAGTCTGACAGCAGGCCCCAGGCCCCAGGCCCCCTACACAACAAAATTCTCCGAATGAATGAATGAATGAAGTAAGCTGACTTGTAAATTCATACAATATTGCCTGACGTGGTGGTGCACGCCTGTAAGCCTAGCACTTGGGAGGCTGAGGCAGGGGGACTGGTACAAGTTCAAATCCAGCCTGGATTACACAGTGAGTTTAAGACCAACCTGGATTACACACTGAGACCCTATCAAAAATAAGTAAGTAAAAATAAAGTCACAAAAAATTTATCTAGGTTCTTAGTAAATAAACACGATAAACCTACACATTAAAGATGAACCACAGCCAGGAGTATCAAAGTTCAAGCACAGCCTGGGCTATAGAACAAGACCCTATCTCAAAGTAAAATACAAAAAGGTTGGGGACATAGCTTAGCACTGCTTAGGTTCAATCCCTGTACCACCACCACAAAAAATATAAAACCACAAAACTAGGTAAGACCAAGGAGACCCGGAATCGTTAGGAAAGGCAGAGTAATATTTACCCTAAACACTTATTTTTAAGTTCTGGTGAGTCTGTGTCAAGCGACCCTCATACCCTGGTCTGGTCCTGGAATCTGCCGCCCGCAGTGCTGGCTTTGGCCTGGGCCTCGGTGATCAGCTCTTTAAGTGATAAAGCGTTGTCTTTCCTCAATGAGAAGCCCACGTTCTTCAGCATCAGCAGAATCAGCTCGATGTCTTTTTCCGTGAAAGTTCCTACCAGTTTCTTCAAAATGTCAAAGATAAGGAGTGACTGCACCACGTGGAAGTTGTACAAGTGGGCGACGATGGTGAACAGGTTGTCACACTCCTTCCCATCGCCTCTGGTCTGGTAGATATCATCAAACTTCTTCACCACGGCTTCCAGGAAGCACGCACCAACCTGAACGGCAGCAGAGGCGGGTCACCACACCGTCACTGAGACCTCCTGCTTCAGACTGCGAGCACTTCTAAAGTACCGTGCAACACGCACATGCTATGACTGGCAGGACACACACTCCAAGGAGGCAGAACCTGTAGCAACTCCAGCACGACTTACAATGAGCACAGACCAGGACAGAACACTGTAGGGCAGGCAACATCAGGGGCGACTTCCTCGGTACTCAAACCCATGCTGTAAGGACACCCTCTGGGCTTTGAGATCAAGCACAAAGTGCTACATTTTGGCCAGTAGCCATTGAGGTTGCTTGGGAAAATAAACTTAAAAACTTTAAAAAATGCTGTCAAAAACATATCCGCATCTCCAACAGTGCCACCTAACAACATTCATTCTGGAGATGGCTTTTGCCAGTTTCCCTCCAAGTTAGTTTCTTATAAGGAAGTGATACAAATGAAATCTAAAGGGCAAAAATGACAACATATCCTCAAGTGGCCTCCTAGACTCCAAACAGGCAGGTACTTCATCCCTGAGGTCACACATGGCACACGAGCTCTCAGCTCCACACAGGGAGGCTGCACCCCGCCACACACAGGAGCTCCGCAGGGGACAGGCAGGGAAGCTAGCACGCAGCTGAGGGGACAGCACCAGGCCAGGACTAGCATGGGCCTGGGGAAGCTGGGCAAGATCACCCTGAGGCCGTCTTCGTACTGCTCAGGCACATTCTGATCCACGTCCCCAAGTGTGTCCTGGGGCTGACTCTGAACTGGGTGGTCCTGGGCACGTTCACAATCCACCTTTCCACTTTGCAAAATGGTGTCAATGAAACCCAAAAGCAGAAATGGCAATCACTGTTTTGCTAGTGTAACTGTCATGTCATCATCTTCTCTCGAATCTCCGCTCAAACTGAGACTAGAGGGAGGAGACAGCAGCAGGGACACTGGTGACATGGAATGACACCAACAGGCCAGCCAGGAGACAACAGCCTGAATAGGCAGCCATGGTGGGCTGAGCAATAAGAGCTGGCATCAGTGTGACCCCGAGCAGACTGGCAGGGGAGGGCATTTCACTGGATATGAAAGCTAAATGCCCCTGCTCCCCAGTGTTTGGTCTGGGCAACCAGGATATACGCCAGGAGAAGCAGGTTAGAGGGGCTGGATAAAATCGGTGTAGGTCTTATCGGTTTCGACTACAGGACATCAGGTAGGATGGACGCAGGGCTCTGAGAAAGATGGACATCTCAGGGAGGATGAGCTCTGCCAGCTAGCTGGGAGAATGGGAGTAGGCACATGTAATGGCTGGGTCCCCAAGATTAACATGAGAAGAATTTAGAAAAAAGCAGGAGCAGCAGAGGCAGCTGACTTCCTGGAAGCCTGCTCCCATAGTCCACATGCTCTTTATCCTCAGAGTAAGGGATTTAACCTGCAAACCCCAGTTCAGGCCTCTTCAGTAAACACAAACCCAAAGGCTTTAACGCCTAGTGTGAGTATTATAGCAAGAAAACATGAGGCGTGAGGCACAACATACACACACACACACCTTTAGGGGTGCTGAAGGTTGAACCCAGGACCTCATGTATGCCAAGTAAGTGCTCTACTACGGAGCTATGCTTCCAGCTCACTGGCATTTCCAACATACAGACAGAATTATACCAAATGTTAAAATCTGTACAATGTTTCAAAACTACACATCACATTACACTAAAAATATGAAATTTCACATTGCTTAAGTAGTTTTAGTTAAGCATGTTCCTTAATTCTAATGTGTGAGCTCTAATATAAATTTATGCAGATACTTTTAGTGACTTAGAGAAGCAACCCAGCAGGCGCCATGGTGGCTTCTGGTTCTTAGTTTTTTCCTCCATGAATTCCTGTGAGGCTAATTTTCTCAGGACGGCGTTGAAACAAGTTTAATGGAACCGGCATCCTGAGCGCTCATCACGTTGGCAGAAGTTTTAGTGGATGTCATTAGCTAAGTACAGTAATGACTTCCCCTTGGAGCAAGTCATCTCATCATCCTTTACGCTATTAGCAAAGGTCTAAATGAGAAGTAGGACCAATAATCTCGTGTTTTCAAATCAAGTAAATTCCTGATGTGTGACAGTCAGGGTCTATGACTTTCCCATAATTCATTAAAATACTGTCTCTAATAAAATCATGTTAATTATTAAGTCACTGAAGTGTAATCTAAGAGGACGGGGATGTACTAAGCTGGCCACACGCAGCGCTGAATTACAGCAATCACAAGCATCAGGAAATCTGTCCAGGCTTCCATTATGCTTTGTAATGGCCAGAAAATGGACTTGCATTCATACAGGAAAACCAGTATGGATCTTTGAATAAAAAATCACTCCAAAAGAGTGAGTCCCACAGTAGCTGGTGCAGATCTTCTACCACAGAGATCATGAGGGAGCTGGGGAGTCCTGCGCCCGGTCGCCCTGGGTCCAGACCACCTCCCTCCTGCCCTCAGTCTCCTGTGTCCGCAGGTCCTACAGCCTCTCATCTTTCCAAACATTACCATAAGGAGACCACTGCTAGGTAGGAACAATGGGGTGCAGAAGACTAGAACAGCAACTAACCCCACAGTGCAGGGAAAAGCTAGCCAGGGAAGCTGGGGGGTAGAAGAGAACTTCAGAAGGAGCATCTCCTTCCGTACCAGAAACAGGCGAATGCCTAAGCAGTCGTGAGGGCACACGGTGGGCTGCCCCTTCCCCACACCTGCCACAGCTGCTTGCTGAACCCCACAATGTGCCAGTACCTCGATTCCAACCGTGTGGTGGAGGATGCTGACCAGGAGGACGTGCTCCATCATCAGCCGGCTGGGCATGGCCGAGGAGGTGACACAGGCGTCCATAAGGGTGGCGGTCAGTGTGTCGCTCATGTCCTTCCTGCTGTGGGCCATGTACAGCTCCTCCATCTGTCCACTTACGAATGCCATGTTGGGCTCACTCAGCCTGCAGAGGGACATGAATGTGGAGAGCAACAGCGCTTCACACTAGGGACCACTTTGCAGTTCGCCTGAAGACTGAGGACTTGTTAGTATTATCAACACCTTACTTTAAGCACTTCTGCTCTAGTAAAATGTCTTACTTGCCACAACCCAGCGTACACTGCCTATCACCACTTAATACTCTGCAACCCTGAAATAACTGCCTTTAGCTGACACACACCAGGGAAGCACACCCTGGATTCTCAGTCTGCAAGAATGTATATGAGGGTCCGCGATACAGCTCAGCAGTGCAGCACCTGCCTGACAAGCGCAAGGTCCTGAATGTGATTCCTGGTACCAAAAAAAAAAAAAAAGGACATGAGGACACCCTCTACCCCCAGAGAAAACGACACCATCCTGAGGTTGTGTTGCGTTGCTAGGAAAAGCACTAACTTCCCCATTTCGTAAGTGGTACCAACATCCTGGGTTCTTACACTAAGCAGAGGCCACCCTACCTACAGGGATGGATGAAAAGGTATCAGACAGGTGACTCCCAGTGTACACGTGATTGTACTGAACCAACTGTCTGAACAGCGCACCACCACATGGGGAAATTCTGGCACACCCCGTGAAAAGCGTGTTTGGGTTTTAATTAAAAAGAAGTAAAAAGCAACACAAGGGGAAAGAGGGGCCAGTGTAACATAAAGGGGTGGCATGAGAGCCTGACTGGTACCCATTACCCAAATCTTCCCATGATAAAACTGCACAGAAGGGGCTGCGAATATAGCTCAGTGGCATAAGTGCCTGCTTGGCAAGCGCAAGGTTGTGAGTTCAATCCCCGGCACCGCAAAAACACCCAAAAAAACTGCACAGGGTGTCTGTCTCTCTCTCTGTCTCTCTCTGTCTCTCTCTCTCTCTCTCACACACACACGAGCACAGCGAGACCAGAACCAGAACAGTTCTGGGGGTTGTGTGTCACCTCCCCACTGTTTTTAGTTGTATTCTAGCCACAGATGTTATCATCTGGGGCAAGCAGGTAGCAACACGCAGGTCCTCGCTGTGAACCTAGAATTATTTCTGAATAGTAAGTTAAACAACAAAAAAGCAATACACTTTCTTGGGAAAACCAGGTAAGGTGCTGGCAGTCAGGGTAGTGGTCACCTTCAGAGGGTCTGAGGAAGGGGTGTGGGGATTCTGAGGGAGAGTAATGGAAGAACTGCAGAAGGGTGTTAGGGAACGAGGTCTGTCTAAGCAGCTTCCAAAGGAACCTCCGGACAATGAGAAACACAGACGCGAATAGTGACCAGGGGGATGGAGGACCGCATTTCCCATCAGTGAGCCTGGACCTTGCCAGGCCTTCCCCGGCGGCTCCTGGGGTGACACAGAAGCCCCGCCCCTTTCCTCCATGCTGCTCAGTGACGGTGTGAGCCCAGGGGTCGCTTCAGACACTGAGGGGACTCACAGTACCAAACAGCTGCACCCATCTCCCCAAGGTCTGAGCCTGGGCGCATCAGGACAAGAACACAGAGGACCCCCACAAGGCCGGTCCTGCAGTTCTGTCAGTTTTTGTACTCTGAGATGCAGACAACCTCCTGAAGGGACAGAACAACGGAGAGTTACCTATTAACGAGGCCTTTGACCTGTTTCTTCAGCCTGTCCAGCTCCGCCTTCTTGTGGACATCCACTGTCTCCACGGCCCGCCTCCCCTGCGGAGGGATGTACCTTTCAGTACTTTCACCAACACGCTCCTTGAGAGGAGGGCAATAAACAGCAAGTAACTGACACTGGCCAAATCCCACTTTGCCCCTTGCTCTATGCACACTTCAACAGTAAAATCGCAAGAGCTCGCCGCTGCTTTTTCGCCCCTGCCCTTTCTACACGAGAGGCCCGCTGAGAGTTCAGCAGGCTGCAGAAGCCCTTGTTTCCGACCCACCGCCCACACTGCGCCGCGCCCTGCTCCCCAGTTTTCCGGAGGGCCTGGACTGTCTGCACTACACCTGCGGAGCTGTGTCCTCTCTCTCCAAACTCTCACGTTCCAGATCTTCATCTTCCGTGAAGCGGACTCTCTTCCTCCCCATCTTCTCCCACGCGCCGCCTCCCACTCCTTCCCAGCTTTCCGGGTCCACAGCCTCATCCGCGTCCTCCTCCTCGTTTTCTTCGTCCTCATCGTCGGCGGCCCGCGCTTCCCCATCCGCGGCCTCCTCGCTCTGGCGCTCGGGGCGTGCCTCGTCCCGGTCCCCGTCCTCCTCCCCGCTGCTCCCGTACAGGCCGCCGCCGCCTGCCCCGGGCTCGAGGGCCCCCAGGATGTAGTCCAGCCCGTCGCGCGCGAAGCTCAGCGGCACGGCGCCGCCGTCGCCCTTCCTCCTGCGCTTGTTCAGGCCGAGGCAGCGCTCCAGCTTCCGGATCTCGCGGTCCTCCTCCTCGTTGGCCGCTAGCAGAGCCCGCTTCCGGGCGGCGGCGGCGGCCGAGGGTCTGGTCTTCCCCGGGCGAGCCGCGGCCTTGGCAGGGGGACCCTCCGGCCGCGAAGCCCGGCCCCTGCTGTGCGCCGCGGGTGCTGGG